TACACATAGTAGCAATAGTATATACTTCAGTTCAACTCAAACATTGGCTTGAAGCCATTTAGAGTGAGGCTATTTCTACGCTAGAATGGTGATATAGTGATTACACAGTCTAAAAGCCAAAGAAAAAATTTTTACAAAGAAAAAGTAATTTAATATGTCAAATTAAGAACTAATTTATAAATTATACATAGACAGTGCAGGTAGCTATAAAAAGTAAGGTATATATCTTCATAAAATTTTTATAGTGAGTGACCAACCACAATCATCCTAATTTAAGAACAAATAATTATTATTTTAGTTACTAATTTGATACGCATAACTATAGAATAAATCTCCAGCAAAAAAATAGGAATTGAGATTGTATTTTATGCTGTATGTAAATAAATAAATGTTATTAGAGATCCTCTTTATAATAAATTTAAAAGTAATAATTTAAATTATTAAGCGGTCCTGCGAACATTTCTGGAAGAATTTACCTTTATGCGCCTGTTCGGAGAGGCGGATCTGGAGGAGGAAGAGAGGCCTTCTTCGAACTTTTGCCAATCGAACTCGCATTCGATCTCTTCATTCACCCGGATCTTGAATGCCGGTTGCGTCACGACGGCGTCGGTAGCGATGCCGTTGGCTCCCACTGTGGTCGCCAGCTTGTTTGCATCAAAAGTTGTTGTATTCATTGCTGTATTCATTACAACTTTAGTCGTTACAATGAAAATAAAAAGATTGTCTTTTTATAAGACCTTTTACACAATGAAAACAAAAGGGTTACAACTCTTGTCAAAACAAACGCAAGATCCTGTTTTGCGGTCTCTTGCTTGCGTGGGTCTTTTGCCATTATTAAGCACCAAATATTAGCTCATGTGAGAAAGTAAAGTAATCTATGGTCTATATACGTTTATAGTTAATCAATTAAACGTATTAAAAATATGATGACCACAGTCAAAATTATATGGTGGGTTCACATTAAATATAAATTATAAAAAATAGTACATTAAAACCAAAATCTTTTTAACCACTATATAGATTATCTAAAAATTATTACATATATAAACTATATTGCGTAGGAAGAGTGATGTGTGTAATTAACTATGATATAATAATCTTAAGAACGACCTACTCTTCAATATCATCATTAATTGACGTATCTGTGCATTACACTGAAAACATAATAAAAATTTAGAAAACTACAAAACAAACATCCTCAAAAGTTTTAAAAATTATAAAAAATACCCTAAAATTTTATAATTTACAAATACACAAAACTATTAAACATTACATTAAAATCAAGGAATTACAAAAATTCATTAAAAATTTTCAAACTTCAGAGGGCTAATTTGTAATGTACTAAACTTTAAGGTTTTTTTTTATAAATTTCAAATTTAATAGATTTTCAATTAGTTATGATCTTTTCAAAAAAATAATGGGTAATATTTACCATGAAAAGTTTTTTCTAAACCTATACTTTTAAAAGGTGTCTGATATTTTTTACAAAATTTTAATTTTCTAGGGGTTATTAGTAATTTTGCATATTTATTTTAGTGTCTATAGGTTATAAAGTTTTTTGTAAATTATAAAATTTAGGGGTTTTTTTACAATTTGTTAAACTTTTAGGTCGTTTCTACAGATTGTAAATTGTTTATAGACTATTTATAATTCCTATAATTTTAATTTACTAATGAATTTGAAACTCTTAGGGTTTTTTTTATAAATTTTGAATTTTAAAAGCTTGTTTGTAATGTTTGAAACTTTAAGGGTATTTTCTATAAATTATGTAGAGGATATTTATACTTCCTATATTTTCAATATACTGTTAGGTTGGAAATTATCAGGATTTTTG